TTACAGGGAGCAGATTTAGGACTGAATTGAGAAGGAACTTCTTCACCCAGAGGGTTGTTAATCTATGGAATTCCTTGCCCAGTGAAGTAGTTGACGCTACCTCAGTAAACGTTTTTAAAGATAAGGTAGATATTTTTTTGAACAATAAAGGAATTAAGGGATACGGTGAGAACGCGGGTAAGTGGATCTGAGTCCACGAAAAGATCAGCCATGATCTTATTGAATGGTGGAGCAGGCTCGAAGGGCCGGACGGCCTACTCCTGCTCCTAGTTCTTATGTTCTTATGCACTCACAGCAGGCTTAATGGCATCCTTTTATGCGGTAACCATGCTATGATTGTAAACAAAAAACACTGCATAAATACAAGACCTTTCTTTAAGTAGGGTTTCACTATCAAATATGCTACAGCAACTTAACGATAGGCGCTATTATGATCCCAGCTAACGGTAATGCTGACAAGTCAGATTCTAGAGTGAAACTGGGCTTGATAGATCATAGTTTTGGTTTTTGCCAGTGGTTACCATGGTGGGCTGTCGCTGAACATATACAAAAAGGGCTGGAAAGGTTCTTTAACAAAAGAACACAAATGTATTACACAATAATAAAAAAAAACTATATATAGTTTAGAAGGGTTTTAACATAAATAGCAAAACAAAGTATCAACTTATTTCCCAACACACTCATTTACAGATACTCAACCCTAGAGAAATATCAACTCTTCAATTTCTTACTTAACTGACTCTTCTTGGATTGCTGAAACAATTTTATGATTCCTTTGTGGAACTTGGACTGTACCCAAGATAAATTCTTGCTGCCATTGTCTCCATGCATAAAGACCTTGCACCTTTGCCTTCCTATGATCTCTAACAATCAAACTACTGTCAGGAAGACTGAAGAACAGATTGATTTACCCTAAATTTGAAGCTACAGGGCCGAACATAAAATTATTGTAAATGTCATTATTGTAAAAATGTCAACAGCAATTTTCAGTCACTGGTTTCAATTTCTAGTCTTTGATTAATTTTTAAAGAATGAACTTTACACCTGCTAATTGATTGCACAATAGAACTCAAGATTTGGTAATATATGTAACAGGTTGATCAATATTAACATCCCAGATTTGCAGGCAATACAAACTTCTCTCCCATATTTTTACAGCAAATTCTGATATAAATGATGGCATATGACAAACATAAAACTGTTAACAAAATCTAGATAAATCGATCAAATGATTTCTCACCAGAAGAAAGTTGACAAGAACTATCCTGCATACTTTTAGTTGAATCAGAAAGTGTACTCAAATAATCAATCTAATGAAGGAAACTAACCTGATGAAAGAAAGCTCCTAAATGGAACTCCCTTCTCTTCCTGGTAAATCCCACTCAGAATGGCACAAAGTACACTACACATTATAGACTATCTTTTACGGCTGCTCTCACGTACTTAAAATACAGGGTTTGATGAGATTTATATCGTTTGGAATGAGAGTGTTTTCAATGAGGATTTGATCCCTAGCAGTCAGATTACTCAGTTACTTTACCATTTCCAAATGAGTGATGAACATCAGCATGATACAAAACTTTCAAGAAAAAGATGAACACATTTTGGGATTAGAAGATTCAAAGAAACAAGTTGCTGTTTCCAATACAAATATGAAATTTTCCATTGAGCAGGCGATGAATGTGTATAATATTGAACATGATAATGAGTGCAATAAACAAAGAATTTTTAGCAAGAAGTCAGAATTGGATCTCTGTCTGCTTAAGGATGCCATTAATTCTGTTTTGTACTTCAAAAATGCTGAGGAACTAGAAATTAAAAACCTGGATCATGTAAAACTTCATGAATTACTCATGGAAGTAACTAAGGAAAATGAACCATCTGAAAATTTGTTGTTTTTTTCTTCTGATGGAGGACTATACTACTATGCTCTGATTGTGTTGCCAAAATGTACGCGTGCAAGCATACCAGACTATGTTTGCACACAATTTTTTTGGATTTGAACTACAGATAAGACAGATAATTGCACTGAAGCAGTTAGTAGCACTATTTATTGGAAGAAACTGATGCTGTGGAAGGAAGCAAGAACTACAACTTGCCTGGAAAAGGGAATGTCATTGCTTTGTTGAGAGTGCACATGTAGAAACGATTGCTGTATCATTCATTGTATATTTAATGTTAACATATTAATACAGTTAGTATGATATGGATTTAGTAGTAAAATAATTATGATGTGTAATGAAAATGTCTCTTTCAGACCCACTTTAATTCTTCTTTGGGTGGAGGTGTGATGAAACTTTAAGTGTTATTTATATGTATTTCAGCATTGTTTGCTGCGAGTTTGGACTTTTGGGGTTCTTGGTTGTACACGCGAGTTTGTAAGTTTTTAGTTGACAATTGGCTTTTGAGGAAAAAGCTACAATATCGATGATTCCCAACAAGAAACAAAGGGTCTGTTTCTGTGTTGTATGACACTATGACTCTATGACAGGATAGAATTTTAGAATCCCTACAGTGTGGAAGCAGGCCATTCAGCCTATCGAGTTTACACCGACCATCCAAACAGCATCCCATCCAGACCCATCCCGCTAGCCTATCCCTATAATCGTGCAATTCCCATTGCTAATCCACCTAGCCTGAACATTCGTGGACACTGTGGGTAATTTAGCATGGTCAATCCACCTAACCTGCACATCTTTGGTCTGAAGTTACCCAGATTTTCTAGGGAACTACTCAGAGGGCTTAGGGAGAGAACCTTCCAGATTGATTCAGTGTAGGCTGGGATGTCATAGAAGAGAGAAGCCCGTATCAAGCTTTGAAGCATTGAGAAGTATTTTGATAAAGTAACGTGTGCTAAACAGCATTATTAAGAAAAGGAGTTTAAAGTAATAAAATTATCTTAGAATAACAAGTTATTATTCCCAGACTGAAGTATTGGGCAACACTGGTCAACCAGGGATGAGCAATAAATACTGGCTAAGCCAGCAATGCCTACATCCCATGAATGTATTTTTGAAAATATACAGTCAGTGGAAAAAAAGCAGTGAAATTTAATTTTTTTTTGAAAGAGGAGATGCATCAGAAATAGTATAGTATTGGAAGTTAATCAGAAATATAATGATGATTAAGGAAGAGTTATCTACAGTTTCAGCAGATGAGTTGAAATTTTAATCAGTTCAAGCTCATCTAAGTATAAAAACAAACAGAAAAATCTCTCTCACTTAGAAATGAGTTGAGCTGGGTCTTGCTAGAAATTAAGTACTGAGTGTTCTTGGAATTGACAAAAACAAAGACAGCAACATTATGCTTAAAAAATATATAATCTATCCAGCTGGGTTCCTGTTTGGAGTCTGACTCATCTGTTACTAATATCAATGGGACATTTCCCCCATAATAATTATGCATATTAATATTTGGGGTCATAATAAGGGTCACAAGTCAGAAATACAACATTATCAGACTAGTCTCTAAAATTACAGAGAGCATGTGGATGTAGAAATTAGAAATACACCGAATATTTTGATATTATCAATTAAAATTGAGCTTGGTAACAATCCAACTGGCTGCAATTTTTCATTATCTGCTGCAGTTTTCAGGCACTGGGTGGGAGAAAGTTTGGGAATACTTAATAGCAGGCTTGCTGAAGGTGTACAAGGGTGGAAGAAAAAGGCAATCACTAGGACCTTGGCTGCAGTTAGCAGTAGATTTATCTAGTAAAGATAGCAGTGTCTTTATAGCTTTCAAATTCATTTATTGACTTAGTTGAGCCTTCCATAAGAAGTAAAGACAGATTCAGAGATCGGGGACTTTTAAATTTGTAGCTATGACCAACTTTCTGTTTGCTTCATAACTCCTTTGCCACATGATGCACCAACCTAGACCCTCATCTGGGATCAGAGACCATGCTTCCAGAGCATTAACTGTCCACCTTCCTACCAGGTGATGGTTAACTGTCTGTCTGATGCTTAATTTTTTGGGCTGAGACAGTGGGTACGGGAGTGAATGAACCACTCACTTTTTGTGTGCCTAGCTCACCTTTTCAATAATGTGAAACCCAGCCCTAATACACCCATAACAGAGTATATTTTTGGCTGAAAATGCTGGAAAATGGCATGACTAGGTTCTATAAAGAGTGTGCATGCGTGAACCCAATATTATTCTGAAGTAATAGAAAGCAGCGGGTAGTCTCAAATAACAGTGCCAAAAGTGTACATCATCAAAGAAGAGGAATCCAGAACTGGGTGGCCTGAATCATATCCTGCAATGAGTATGAGAGGACAGATTGTGCGGCATTTGAAGGGCAGCTGCAGCATTGAAGCTCAAGTAGCATAACTGTTCTAGTGGCTGTCAATAGATAGTGACAGGATCCAGGATGAAGTGGTGGATCAGTTCTTCTTTGATGGTGAAGGAGGGCAGCAGCAGCCCTTGTCCCTGAGCAGCATGGCATCTGGACACGGCTGAGTGGGGCATGGTGAGCATGGTGAAGGAACAGCAGTGAAGGAGACTTGCTCCACAAACACCGTACAGGAGGTGAAGGTACACTTCATCAGCCCCAAGCCTCCACCCTTGTCTCCCTCTTGCTCCAGCCTTCATGGCTCTCTCATCCCAGCCTGGTGGTGTCCAGGAACCTGTCGCAGCCTGCTGATGTCACAGGCTGCATCTGTACATGTGTTGGCATTATGGATAATCACTCTGATATATTTTGCATGTTACACGTTTGGCCGAAAAGTAAGAGAATATAAAGAAGTCGTGTAAGCAGAAAGTCCAGTAACTTGTAAACAATAATTTGTTTACGATATTAATATTTTGCATTTATCTGAGGCATTAACATATTGAAAAGTATCCAAATAACTATCAGAGTTTGCACTCTAAGTGATATTTACTGATATTAAAGAAACACCTTACCTGGATGTGTTTGCTGTCAGCTGAGAAGTCCATTTGAATGACAAAACTAGGAATGTCTTTGCAATAACCAGTTCTGTTTAAAGTAGGGCCTTGTGTGAGGTCATAAAAATCAACAGTATTTTCTGCAGAACCAACAGCCAGGTACATGGAATTGGGGCTAAAGCTAAAAGAAAAACAGATAAAAAAGACAGTTGGTATTTTAAATTTGAATTTATCAATATTTTATCAATGTATTTTTGCATCTTTTTTATTGTTCGTAATGTAACTAACAGATAGTGAAGGGGACTGTCGGAGAATACAGCAGAATATAGATAGATTGGAGAGTTGGGCGGAGAAATGGCAGATGGAGTTCAATCCAGGCAAATGCGAAGTGATGCATTTTGGAAGATCCAATTCAAGAGCGAACTATACGGTAAATGGAAAAGCCCTGGGGAAAATTGATGCACAGAGAGATCTGGGTGTTCAGGTCCATTGTACCCTGAAGGTGGCAACGCAAGTCGACAGAGTGGTCAAGAAGGCATACAGCATGCTTTCATTCATCGGACGGGGTATTGAGTACAAGAGTTGGCAGGTCGTGTTGCAGTTGTATAGGACTTTGGTTCGACCACATTTGGAATACTGCGTACAGTTCTGGTCGCCACATTACCAAAAGGATGTGGATGCTTTGGAGAGGGTGCAGAGGAGGTTCACCAGGATGTTGCCTGGTATGGAGGGTGCTAGCTATGAAGACAGGTTGAGTAGATTAGGATTATTTACATTAGAAAGACGGAGGTTGAGGGGGGACCTGATTGAGATCTACAAAATCATGAGAGGTATAGACAGGATGGATAGCAAGAAGCTTTTTCGAAGAGTGGGGGACTCAATTACTAGGGGTCACGATTTCAAGGTGAAAGGGGAAAAGTTTAAGGGACATATGCGTGGAAAGTTCTTTACGCAGAGGGTGGTGGGTGCCTGAACACGTTGCCAGCAGAGGTGGGAGAGGCGGGCACAATAGCATAATTTAAGATGTATCTAGACAGATACATGAATGGGCAGGGAGCAGAGGGATACAGATCCTTGGAAAATAGGCGACAGGTTTAGATAGAGGATCTGGATCGGCGCAGGCTTGGAGGGCCAAAGGGCCTGTTCCTGTGCTGTAATTTTCTTTGTTCTTTGTAACATTCGATTTCCAAAATTATTTTCTCAATTCCCAATTATATTCACTGTGCACTGATGACTTGAAGAGGTAAGTGGATGTGATTTCTTCTGATTCCCATAAATTAGAACACTCAAAATGCTACAACTTCACCAAGCATATTTCTTACCGTCTACTGTCCATGTGGCTGGTGGACTGGGGAACTATTAATCAGCATATGACTGCAGTGTTGGAGCAAATGTGTACCCCAGGATATAATATTCTGATTTAACCAACAAGAATAATTAAATTAAGTTACTACATGAAATTAACCAGATGGCAGACTTTTAAGTGAGCACCAAAACAAAAATCAAATCAAAAAAGGAAATTTACAACATCAAAATTAAAATTTGGTTTTGAGGGGTAATGATGTACTACAGCCCCTATGGTGTTCACCAGTTGTGATCCTGGAATATGTATTTACATTAGTATTAATTCCGAGGGCTTTATGGATTATAGCATTATAAGTGTAGTATAATTGGATGCAAATATCCTAATGATAATGTAAATGATGATGCTACTCTAATATCAGAAGAGCAATGGAGAGCCCAAGGAGGAGTGAAACACTATACAAGAGCTGTACAATATTCAGTAAAATGTATACCTAAGTGCAAATAAAGAGTTAACAGTACTGATGGGACTGCTCTCATTCTCGGATAAGGTCACATTAAGGATGCTAGGGGCACAGAGCAATTGCAGCCTAATAAGACAAAGAAAATCCAAGAGTGCAAGTGTGGACACCCAATTCCCTAGGAAACCAAGGTGGAATAGAATTCATGAAGAGACAAACAGCCAAAAGTTATGGTAACCACAGTGTGCTCATGAAGCATATGGACAGCAGTATTCACTAAAAACATGGTGGCAGCAAGGGGGAATTCAAAATAATCAATTTTAAGTCAGATCACAGTCCACAAGGCACAGAGGAAAAAGATGGGAAGACTCTGACAGACAAAACAGAAACCTGGAAGATTTTGTAGACAGAACAGTACAATGAGAAAACTCTGGTGAACAAACAAAGATAATCAGAAGATTCTGAGCAAATAGAGAGAAAATACTTACCCAGCTCGGTATGGTGTGTTGAGATGGCAGCTTCAGTCTACATATCGTAATTGCCACAGTGGTATAAAAATGCTGAAGGTCTACTACAAGGCCAGAAATGAGAGTGCTGGAAATAGCAGTTCCAGAGATACAGGACTGCATTAGGGTTGCACGCAAAGGAACAAAGTTATCAGATCAGCATATTCCAAACACAGTTGGGAATGTAGCAGACAATGTCCTTGTGAGGCAGGACGAAAAGACTTTGAATCTTTAATTAAAGTGCTTGACACATACTTTAGCCCAAATATGAACTTGGTGATAGAGTGAGATATAATGAATGGTCACAGTGACAAGGAGAATTGATTGAAGATTTATCTAGATTAGCTAGGTGCTGTGGATATGGAGCATTAAAAGATAAGGTAATAAGAGATCATATCATTATAGGCATCAGGGATGAAAAATTGTCTGATTTCCTTCAGTCAAAAGACAAAGTCACACTGGAGCAAGTAATTCAATATGGCATACAAGCCAGGATCAGAAATGATCATTACAGGCAACACCAAGGTTCTTCTGATTTGATTGGATAGGTAGGCCTCATCATGGTGTGAACATACTCCCAAGGGCCCACAAAAATGTGAAAAGAGCAGGAAATAACATCACTGCTTACATCAGAATATTCAAAGCGATATCAAAATTACAATGTGCTGTGTTATCAAGTTGGAATACTATGACTCTTAAAAAAATGCTGATTAGCAGTTCCTACATCACCACAAAAACAGAAAAGTCTCATCAAGGGAAAATTTCCTGACAAAGGATAATGATATGGAAAAGAAAAAGATGAAGATGTCAAGCATGAAGATCAACAGAGTAAGCCAACATTCTTAAGCGAAGTCAAAGAGCCAGCAGTGGTTTTGGGATATCATCTTACAAGTGCAAGGATATAATGCAAAACTTAAACTTGATACAAGGCTGGCTGTTTCAATACTGGCTGACAATCTACGTAGTTAAAATGAGTTGACATTCAATTTGTGTGCATCAAACAACAAGGTCTTGGGGCACCGATCTTCAGGTGTGCAGTCAGTTTACCACCACACTCAGTTATAAAGGGTAAGAAATCAGTGAAACTCTACATATTGAAGAACGAGAACATATAATTGCTCAGTAGAAATGCATGCACACAGTAGGTCTCTTAGAGAAAGTGGGTGTAGTGCTGCAAGCGGAAAATGGAAGAGCATTTTCTCAAGAATTCAAAGTTATTCAGAGGCTTATGCGAGCTAAAACAGAGTACCTCATTACGCTGCAAGAAGACGCTCAGCCCATCTGCCTGTATACACCTAAAAAGGTACTTCACCCACTATTAGAAACAGTGAAGATGCAGTTAAACAGCATGTTAAAAGACCTGTTCATATCATCAGTGACAGAACATCATTGCCCATATTACGATGTTCAAGACAAGAGCAAAAGCACATCTAGTGTCCAGTGCAGATTAGGGGCTTGTGGGTTGAGTGCTGGCAATGTGTAAGAATCGAACATTTGCTTGGAACTTGTAACAGTTCCCAAACTCAATGAAGGGCTAAGATTGTGAAAAAAATCTCACACAACCGAACAAAAGGGTTTAAGGTAAAAGTCATCCAATTTCATCAGTCAATGACATTTTGTCCAGATTAACTAGGTTTTAACCAAACTTGGATGCAAACTGTGGGCTTTGGCAGATGTCCCTGACCAAGATTGTTAACTATATCCATCAATCTTTTGGAATTTTGTCAGCACTGGAAATCTTTCAGCTAGTAATGTCAAAGATTCTTGAAGGCAAGCAAAATTTTATTTGTCATATGGATCATATCCTGATATGTGGCCAGAACAACCATACAGAATACTAAAAGCATTACAAAGCTCAGTTCTTATACTCAATGAGGAGTGTCAATTCTCAAAGACAAAAATGATGTTTCTGGGAGATAGAATAAAGGAGCAGGGAATCAAACTTCTGCATGAATGGTGAACCAAGTAGAAGATTTCATTTCTAACTTAGTCTCACTCAACTCATAACAGATCATTCAAAGAAAATACAATAATGAACCTGGAGTCAGGAACAGACTACAGCTTTTCAGAAGATCAAGGCGAAGCTACTCTCCTCAGATGTACCAAGTCACTATAACTCAGGCTTATTTAACATAGTATTTGAAGATGTATCGTCCACATGTCTAGGTGCAGTTCTCATTCAGATGCAGAATGATTGAATCAGGAAGCTCATATATTTTGCATCAAGAGCATTTACAAAGGCTGAACAAAGATATTCTGAAATGGAAAGGAAGCCTTGGCTATTACATAGTGATGTGAACAATTTTCAGATTACCTCATGGAATTCAAATTTCAGGTCGAAATAGATCATAAATCAAGAGTCACATTGCTAGAATTCAAAGGAGATTGCAAAAGTGCTGTTCTGAATACAAAAATTCATATTTGGACTAATCAGAAACAACAATGTGGCAGTCCATGTCCCAGGTAAGGCATAGATTATGGCTGTTACACAATCCCGGGTATTAGTGGATCAGATGAACAAAGAAAACTTAATCCTCACTGAACAGGTAGAATTCTATTCCACTGCAATTATTAATGCACCACCAGATACTGAGGTGAAGTTCAAAGAAATGTGTGAACTCAAAGTAGACAAGCAGTGCATAAAAATTAGACAACTTTGTCTACAAGGATGATCAGATACTTTAAGCAGATCAAATTCTGAAAAAGTAAGAATGGAAGTAATATTACTGTTGTGGCTGACCTATGAACATATGACTACAGATTGGTTATGCTGAATTCAGAGAGGCATGAAATGCTAAAAGACTTTTTAAGGTAGACTCTGAGGGATCACAAAATGCAGAATTAGAGCTCAACAGGACATTTGGCAGCCAGGCATTTTCAAGGAAATTGAAGATGTTATTTTGTTATGTCAC